CCGATCACTTACCGTAGTGATAGGCTCTCCCATTACCTACGTTTCCGAAACCGTTTCCCATGGACACATTCATGTGGCTTGTCCGAAAGGCTGTGGCGCATCACGTGATACGTTCACCCGATGAAAACCGGATCTATAGCCACGTCCTAAGACCTTTGGCCGTCAAAATCCGTGATAAATCCGTGTCTATGTAAGAAAAAGATGGGTAATGGAGAGAGTAGAGGAGTGTCTAAGTAGACGATAGGTGGCGCTTTCGTGGTGGAAGACAGGCTATCAGCGGCGTGACAAGTCGCCGAAATTTCTTTCCCTTTGGTTCTCAGACACGCCCATCGCCGGTACGATGAGCGTCGACCAATAAAGCAGTAGTGTTGATCGATCGTCAGGGTTATGATACCACCGTTTAAGTTCACCCAAATGTTAGTGGTATGTCTGGGAGCGAACGAGCTACTATGCTAGTGGTATCCCGTCCGCTCCCGAATCATCGGATGAGATTAGGGACCGCTCCTGGTGGTTTTTTTTGTTTCACAGAAGCGCCAATTGGTACCTCTACCCTCATATTTCAAGGCCAACGGCTTATCGCGTCTTCGAGCGATTCCCTCCCCTTTATGCGCGTGGTTTTTATCGGTTGGTTGCTTTTCAGTTCCTTCCTAACAGCAGCGCATTCCACAAATGTTAATGGTACGATCCAGTTCTCGGAATTCATTCAGTACAAATCAGGAATTAATACGCCTCGTAAAAATATATTGAAATTTGAATGTATCCTGATTATCAAAATAGTTTCAGGAGTTAAATACTTCTTGGTCCTTTAAATGGATCCCGTTCAGAATATAAGACAACGTACTCTGGAGTGAACCACATTAGAGATTGGTAGCTGGGAAAGAATGGCGGCACTGGGCTGACAAACGGTGCACACGGCCGTCGTCGATGGTTGATTGCTGAGTTAGGCGTACGGGCCTCTCGTGGACCATCCACCGTAACCTGAAAATGTAGACATACATAGTGTGCGACTGTAGGGGTTAAGGGCTAAAGGGCGTCACCCTAAGGGCCCAATGGAAGATTAAGGACGATTTCCGTGCCTTACACACACAAAAGAGTGTCAGGTCTGGCAAACCCTAAAAAGTGAGCGATGGCATTGTCAGGCCTAGTGCTCGTCAGTCGCGCATCTCTCATGTTACGTTTATAACAATCTTAACCCATTGCGTACCGCGGCGTTTTTTGGCTGGCTGGCGCGTGTGGCCGGCGCCTATTTAGACCCCCGCCGCATGCTGCGCGATCCTAATAAAACTTTCATTTAAATTACAAACACCTATTATATAAGCACTGCGCATATATCTTACACATTTGCAGTATTTCATGTTTATTTTTGTACAGTGGAATTAGTTATTATTGCATGATGTAGGGAGTAGGGTAACCGAAAATGCGACAGAATTGAAAAAAGAGTTTTGAAGAATATAACAAGTGGAAAAAGAGCTGAAAGTGATTGAAACGTAGTAGCTTTAATTGTTTTATATGCTCGAAGTTGTCGCTTAGCCGTTCCTTCACTTTTACTACAATTTAGCGAAAAAATTGAGAGAGTGCAACTGGAGTTTTTCACAACAAATACCAGTAATTCAGGAATTCCTTCTCATTGCGCAGTCCCACGTCTGTATGTTATTCTCCGGATTCAGTTTATCATTACTATTAGATTAGAGCACGAGAAAATGTCGAAAATACCTTCAAAAACCCGTGCTGCACCATGTGCAGCACGCGGCACACACGGAGGCAAATCAGCGTGCTGCCCCATGTGCAGCACGCGGTACGCAATGGGTTAAAGATCGCTACCGGCGTGCGGTCGGGACTGAGGTGAAATAAATTGCTCGTGAGCTCAGGAGCTTACCTCTAAATTTTCGGCCAGGGAACGTCATTCCACGATCCGAATATTTCCTCAAGTGGAACAGGCGTTACTTGCATCCTCTCCCCTTCTCTCTGGGCAGTAAGAGTTTACTATGAAAAAGATAGGCTCCCCTAGAAATTAAGGTAGTGGAGGTCAGTGATGCTGACGATGAAAAATCCAAGATCGCCTGCACCCGAGAACTGAGGAGACCTTTTGCTCGTTAGTTGGCACGTTAGGCGTTTCTTATTGAACGCTAAAGCTCTTCGGGTTAGGTAGGAGGTGGTAGGCCGGCAACGGTGCGGTTGAGGTCCTGCTAGAGGCACACCCTTCGTCGCAAAACCCGCATCGCTCCGCATCCAGCTTAGACACGTTGCTTTCTGCAAAAGGTTCCCCTTATTCGACTTACGCATGTCATAGAAATCCTCCTTTGCGCCAATCCTTTTGTCTTGAATGAAACACTTGTTTGGCCACTACCATTCTTAATCGCCAACAATTGGTTGCTGAGAGGCGCGAGTGGGTTTTGTGTTGCCTGGGTCATTCACCACTTCGTATAGCATACATTATACGAAGTTACGCGTCACAATAATCAGCACTGACCACTTCATTTTTTGTCAGAAGTGAATTGGAGTCTTGCCTCCATTTTCGTTCCACTTTCAGCGCCCAGGTTTTTAGCCCTCGAGCAAATGGCGCCGGGCTGGGTTACGGTTCCGCGAAAAGCGAAAGAGAACTGCTAGTGAAAGAAGAAAGCCTATTAGGAGATTCCTGCAGAGATAGCACGACTGGGAACAACGCAGTTGGGACTTCACCATAATGGAGCGTGGTGAATTTCTAGTCTAATCGATACTTCCCAATCACACATTTCAAGATTAAGAAAGTTAGGACACGAATCAATGTAACTCACTTTTATTGCTCGGCTCACCATTGCGATCATCATCGGTTTTGTATATACACATATTGTGAGGTGGAAATTTTTCCCTGAAAATTACTACTGATTACCAAAATTCACAAAAATCTCTCGGAACAGACGCTGACTGGCTTCTTAAAATTATCTTCATGAAAGTGATTACGATGATAATGAGTGAGACTTTCGGAGAATGGTAATTATAGGTTGAGAGCGACAAGAAAGCGTGTGAGCAGAAGCGCGCGGTGGCAGGTCCTTCCATCGAAGTATAAAATGTCTTGATACCGGCTCGAGCCGACATCGAGGATTTCTGGGTAGAGAGGTAGTTTTGGGATACCCGACAGGAGACCCGTCGCGCGGCGAGAGGGCAAAGACGTGGGCGAGTCGCAGCGCGTGCTGTGTGGTGTGGGCGTACTATAATCAACTTGACGCGCAATAGCTACAGTACGCGCTGCGACTCGTCCGCGTCTCTGCCTTTTCGCCGCGCGATGGGCCTCCTGTCGGGTACCCGCAGTTTTTGGTAGGAAGAGGTAACTGAAAGGCAAACATAACAGTGTATGGAATAGTGCCTTTGGTGGATGGAATAGTGCCTATAGAAGCACAGAGTTCCTAAGAAGGCTCATTAGTTGGCATGAGGGCTCTCCTACAATCGACAGTCGTGCATGGTAACGCGCGAGGGAACAGCCAAAATGTAATGGCAGGGGGCATTATTCACGATAACCCTGGCGTGGTTCTTTCTCTTGAAACATGCAAGATGCTTCAAGTTGGGCAAAGCGAAGAATAAAGAAAAAGAATTTTTTCTGAAAAACCTTAACAGTAAGGGCTTCTTCTCTCCTGTTGCGAGACAATAAGAGAGTGAGTACGGATGAGCCGTATTATAGGTAGGAGCAGACGTTAGACGTGGGATCTCAGACAGCAGAATGTTGCGAAAGAGAGGAAATTGGAACTTGTCCAGATGACGTTCGCAAGGCCCTTGTTGCCAAATTCGGAGCAGAGAGAACAAGCCAGCAACCACTGGATAGCTCTATCCTATCCATCAAAAGGATACGTTTACGTGAACTCATCATGAGTGGTGTTCTCTGCCAACCACGCGACTGTACCTATAACCACGGCAATCAAGGCATTACTCCCAAGATGACCTGCTATGCTCTAAAGAAACCCTGAACCGGCCGGTCAGCAACCTAACAGTTAACGCTTCTTAGTCTATGCGGCAGCTACAGGAGGAGTGCGGGTAAACGCTCAAACAAGACATACTGGCAACTCAAGCAATGGTAATGAAAAGCCTTGAAACCATTGGATCGTGGCGCCATGGAGCCATCAATAAGCTGCTCATTTCCATTCAAGATCATAAACGAGGAATTCGCGATATTTTCTTGCGTCGAAAAATTCGGGCGTTAAAACAAGTGGAGAGGGTGAAGGAGGTGGACGGAGTGAAGAGTAGGAGGAAAGAAGGAACAGCACTCCGCAGCTTGCCGTGCGAAAGTTATTACAAGGGTGATGAGTTATAGGTAAATCTCTTCGCCTCTGGCAGAATCCAATTCGTACCCTATCCATAGCCTTACGGGCAGAGAGCGAGTTGGGTTCGCACGCGGGAGGAAGAGTTTTGCCCATAATCGAGCATTCTTTGCAGTATTTTGTTTTGTTTTGGGGGGATCACATTGGAAGAGTTAGACTTGAAGAGTTTGTTGAAGATGTTTTTTTTTTGTATTTTCAACGAGTTTAACAGCTTTATCAGGAATTGTTTACTATCTACTTTACTATACAATGTATCCTGGTTGGAAGTGGTGTAGTACTAACCATAAGTAGCGCTACACCAAACGCGCGGTCCTGGGATCGACTCCTCAGATTTTTCTTCTTTCTGGGCCAATCAAGTCTCATCCCAATGGTCAGTAATTGAAGAACTTCCTCAGGCGGACAAAAACTCTGACTTGTTGTTGGCCTGACTCCTCGCAATCATTGTTATCGCCAATGCATTCAATTGCCACTAAACGAATATACAAATCGTGTGGAAGGCGCGCCGCATACCCACAGAAGAATTGAATCAACGGCTTCAGCAGCCAAGTGCTTTATCTTTTATCATGTTATAGTTCTCACCACTCCGTCGTCGTAATTTCCGGTATTACAAATATGATGCTGATCTTGAAAACTAGTCTGGGGCTCGGGTTCGCAATGGGAAATACCTAGAGCAAAATGATTAGATTTCTTCGTATAACTTCGTATAATGGGAAATACCTAGAGCAAAATGTTAGATTTCTCTTCCACTTTCATGGGATTCCCGAAGAATGCACCCGCTTCCCTAAAACCTTATGTAGATCCCCTTGGGTTAGGTTGTGGGGCTTCTTTCTAAACGCGATAATATGTGGATGCGGTTTTGGATGCCGTTATCATGTACATCTGGCGGATAGCCTGCGGATAGATGTGTATCGCGCCGACACGGTCGCCATCGTCGTCATCAACGTCGTCGTTGTCGTCGTCGTTATAGACGGAGTGCGGACGGACGGTGGCGGTTGTCCGATAAGAATCGCGCATTCATCTCCTCCCATGTCGCCCACAAATCTGTCCATGTTCTTCGGATACATGCCGATAATGACAAGGGGAGCACGGTCAGCGGGTGACCTTTTTCTGTTACTTGACGATAGCAAAAACACCGTATCGCTCAGGAACAGATGGTTGGTAGATGGTACCCAATCGAACCGAGAACATAAATTGGTGCCATCGAAACGGCACATCATCTGGTAGAGGAGTGAACTTGTTAAGGACAAATTCCACAATTGAATAGGAAATTGTAATTGCGCTTAGGAATGGAATAATTGTGGCAATTGGTCTCAAAGTATCGAAAGAAAGAAAGAAGCCGCTAAAAACCCTAGACTCACATAGCGCGCCCGCCATTTGCGAGGGATTTGCGCTCCATTCCAACGAGGTCTCGTTGGTTATGTTTCTATAATATGGGAAAGCACGGAAAAGAGATAGAGCTAGCCAATGAGGCCCGGTAGGGGCGGAGCGTAAATCCCGCCTGTAAGATCAGAGTAATGTGATTTTACAGTTCCAGCGGCTTTTTATGCTATATTATTATTATTAGCAAAACAGTCGAAACACCTGATTTTGTTCTTGGACGTAATATGGTTGGTAGATCTGCACCTAATCAATTCAGGCATAAGTCCTTAATTAGTCATTGAGAAGAGGGGAAACAAACGTGTTCAAAATAAATCAATAGAAAGCTGTAAAGTGGCAGCATGGGCGCTCCCAATGTACTTAAATGTTCAGCAAACTCACAAAGCCCTTCAAATCTAGACTAAAACATTTTGGTTTTCAGTTTTGATACTAGAAATGTTGGGTAAGTCCTCGTAGGTGAGCTCATCGTGAACGGTTCAACTGGACGACTGCACTGTTTGGTAACTTCCGGATACATGGCGTATCCCCAACTCTCCAATCGATCATGTGGTGTTGTACTGAGGTTAAGGTGTTGACGCCTGTGTGAGCTATTACGTCGCGATTTCACAATATTCTTAAACCTATTTACTCAGACTCCTCAGTTTAACAACTACTGTCTTTCGATGCAAAATCAAGTAAGGGGGGGGGGTCCAAAAACCAGAGACACCTCAATATTGTTCACTGTTTATTAGAATCGAGGGGTTTATGTTGGATGCAACCTTATGTCAGGTAGCAGGAACGGCTGTCTCATCAGATGGATTTGAAAAGGTTGGGAGAAAGGCCCCATAAGGAATGGTAGTTCGGTTTGCTTGGATCCAAGGAGTTCCACCGCATCCCTCAATGAGTCTGCCACCGCGGCGGCAGTGGCATGCGACCGCGACGAGCGCGGTGATCATTATCTATAACCAGCGAACATTTCCACGCGCAAAAACGCTGTTTACGTGCAGATTACGGTAGCGCGCGATGAGGGACACAGACAGACGCGGAGGCACCAGAGAAACAGAGCAGCCTGAGTGTGAATCGGCAGTTTGAACGCAAAAAAACATGAACAAAGCACATGACCAGATTAATTTAGGTGACACAGCTGCTGAGACAACTGATGTATAGGAACAATGGCTATTGATCGATTATTGATTGGTGACAAACCTCTGCCGCTTTTGCCGACGAATCGCAGATCGCTGAACCGTGCCACTTGACGAATCACTTTCGCGGTGTCGTGACGAACTTCACCAGACGGTGTCTCGTCATTTCCAGCAGCCACAGTGACTGTAAAAGGGTGCATTTGCATAAACATACACACTACCGTAACCCATCTGGTCGTAAACACGACTCCAAGGCGCTTAAACGATTACATTTGCTAGTAGAACAGGTTTCTTTGCGCCGTTATTCAGCTTGTGGTGCAACTTTAATAGCGTGCCCTTAGACCCCTTCAGAACTGTATACCGATCTGGTTACAATGAGTTTGGCTACAATTCCCCGAAGTAGTTCCACTCAGCGGAATCCCAATGAGGTCCCACAATGCGGCCACCTGTTGCAGGTGATTGTCACTTGAATGTCTTGTTGAACGACACATTTTTTAGGCTATTGAAGCGGTTTACAGTGGTCGTGAGGCTGTTCGCCTAATGGGAACGCGGCTGCTATGTGGAGAACGCCCACAGAAAACCGACTTTATTATAGGTCTGAGAGGAGAGGGCTGTTTGGACTTTGACTTCCACGAGTTCTGGAAAGCACAGTGAGGGGGTGGTTGATTAACCCTTGAGAAATCTGGAAGGTTCTGCAATGGCGAAGGTTAACCTCGAGTTTTTTTTGGGCCAGTTCTCTAAAAAAAAGGTTGGAAAT